GTCTCAAGGCAATATGTTCAGGTGCTGAGGCAGCTCAAGCTGCTGTTCCACATCCCTTTGTCTACAAATTGTTGAGAAACTGTGCTGTATCCCTGGACATGGAAAAGCTGTGGCTGAGGGGATGCATGTTTAGAATGCAAAATAGAGTGTATGTATTGATGTTCAATGAGCAGTCTTTTTAGTAACTGTGCCTCGCTGCCCATTTCAGGACGCTTTCTCAACAACACAAATGAGGGATCTACACCCTCTTACGTGCGCTTTTGGATGTTCAACATCACCAATTTGGACGAGGTGCACAAAGGGGCCAAGCCGAATGTGGTGAGCTCTGCTTTGGTGTGCAAATGCACTGACCAGTTGACGCCCAACATTACCCAATAGGTGCAATGGCAGTTGTGTGTCAATCTGCTTTCGATGAATGTAATCACCACGGATTTGCCACATGGTCTTTGTCCTGTGCTGTATGACAGAATAGCCTGTGTGTGTTGACATGCCATGTTGTGGCTTGCACCAGACGGAGATGGGCCCATACACCTACCGAGCGTACTTCGAAAATTTTGGCGTTGAGTTTGACTACGCTGGGATGATGTCATATAGGGTATGACTCAGGGTATGGCAGGGCAAGGAGTTTTGCCCTGCTGACTTGTGCATGAACAACACATGTGCTGTGTTCATGACGCTGCTGTGTTCATGACACTGCTGTGTTCATGACAGCTGGAACATGTACCACATGTGCAACACAAGTGATGTGTGCTATGTTGTGCAGCAAGAGCAGAAGGCACTGATGCTGCTTTTGGGAATACTGTCACGAATGCTGTATGCTGTTGTTGCGGATGGACTGCCATCGTATCCAATTTCACTTTTTTCTTCTTGTCCTTCATGGACACTGATAGTTCCCATACGGGTTTCAATTGAGACAAACATTTCTGAGCTGTCCGTCATGTTTCCTGAACATTCTAGAGAGGCGCCGTGACCTTAGTTGTTGGAGCGTCAAATTTAAGGAAGCTTGCTTGATTGAATAAGTTCCCATATGTTCCAGTGGGACTAAGCATGCAAATGTGTTGGGAACACTTTCTGCCAGAGACAATGCTCAACAATGCCTGACAGGTTCATTGATAGTGAATAATAATGTTTTAGCAGCTGTAAGATACAAGAGTTGCCAACACAAGGCCCATGTGTGCCACATACATCATGTGTGTCACATGTACCGCGCATGCCAGTTGGATGATATGTTCAACACATGCCACATACTTGACGTCCTCAACATATGCATACGTATACAGACTCAACATGTACCGCAAGTGCAGCTGGGGCAACATGCCGAATGTGGACACAATAAGCAACATGCACCTTGTGCTCAACATCGAGCGCATGTCTTTTCTTCAAAGGGACAGCAAAGTGCACCATATCACCACAGTGCCTTTGTGAGACTGCACGCTATCTCCAAGCCTGGGATGTGGTGTGTGCAGGGATATACAAAGTACATCTTCCAGCCAGACCTCAGCCCTGGCGTTGCTGAGAACGATACTGTTGTCACCCTCAACCTGCCATTTCTTGGGGCACTTATTGAACTCAAGGCCAGGTACAAGCACTTCCATTGGCTCATGGACAGGATCTCCTATTTAATCGAGAGGTGAGCTGTCCATTTGGCAAGTTGCTGCAGGCCATGCATCACTTCATCTTGGTCGTTGTCCTGTCTTTGCAAAACTTCATGAAGTTTGGGTTTTGAATCATGCATTGAACCCATTCACCTGTTGAGATGATGATCCCCAGTCAGAGGGCTTGTGTGGATTGCTTGCTTTGCTTGCTGCAGGAGCCACATGAACCTCGGAACTTTGCGGATTAGTCTGCTTGGGCAGCATTTTTGTGCTGCATGGAGAAACTTGCAAAACTGCCAAAAACCATTTCTGCTCCTCGCTAGTCATGCACACTTTGGCCGTGCCAACTGGGCTGCTGCTTATTTTTGCAAATTGCTGCCATTAACAGTAGGATGCTGGCCAAACTCCTTGACCCTGAGGCTGGAGTGCCACTATGATGCACACTGCTGTAGTACTGTGTTGTACTGCAATGTGCTGCATTGTCTTCTGCTGCAAGTCTCTGCAGTGCTGTACTGAACTGAACTGCACTGTACTGACTTTGCTGTAGTGTGCAGCTCTGCATTGTACAATTCTGTTTCACCACATGTTGCATGGTGCCAGTTGGGAGACAGCATTTGTCCTGCTCTGACGAATGTAGGAATAGCAGTTTCACACTGCATGTTGCTGTGTCACCAGATGGGGCCAGGGCAAGGCGATGGGCTTGTTCATGAGCCGAAGAGTGGAGGAGCTGCTGTGGGGCTATCTGGTAAGCTCCTGTGGATTGTGTTGTCAGTCCACCCATGACACACGGGGCCGCTGCAGCTGGTATGCGGTGATAGTCACAGACATGTCCAGCCAGTGTGCGATTAACCCAGATCCTCACTCTGCGCACTGCATGAAAAGACAGAGGCAGAACCAAGGGCACTTCTGTAGATAAGCTCTGAGAAAAAGGAAAATGGAGTGGAAAGAATGGAAATGAAACTGAGAATCGAAAAACTCTTCATGGAAAGAATCTTTAACCTTGTGGGCCCCATGGTTCCTTCCAATGGGTCATCTCAGTCTCAGTGTGGGGCCACCAGATGAGGACGCAGTTTCTGAACTTGCAGCCAGCAGAAAAATCCCCCAATCGAATGTTGAGTGGTGCAAGAAGTGATGTTCTGCACAACATTCTTGTGCACAGACCCCAGTCTTGCACCAGGTTCATTGGCGTATCAAACTAAGTACGAGTGAGGACGTTGTTTCTCACACTGCCATCAGTGTGGGCTGGAACCTGGAAGGTGTTTCTGCATCATTTATGAATGCACCTAGTTGACATTATGCCTACTTGGTGCCATGGAGTTCAGACAAGTCTTGTGTGACAGAATCTGTTGGGCATCCAACAGTCCCAGGACATCACTGGGCCACTGTTTCGGGCTGCTGTTTTTTGAATAGCAGTCAGCGTGGCCCAACTTGAAACGAATGCTCAGATTGCTTTCTTCGTTCGGGTAGCTTGCGACTTGACACATGTTACTGTGCATGGGCAGGATCCTCTCCTCTACAGGCTGCAGGACTACGTCGATGTGAATCCAGAGTTCTCTTTGATGCACAATGGGAGCGTCGATGTGGCATTGTCGGATGAGCTAACAGTCATAAACACAGGAGCTGCCAACCTGACTGCATTGTGCAATGTGGGCTGCAGAGCAAATCGCATAGCATAACTGCTGTGGTGTGTCTGTTTTGCTATGCAGTGTGCTGCTATACCATGGCTGCGACATCCATTTGCCTGCAGTGTTTGAGTATTGTGCGGCTTGCTGGTGGCCAAAGACTAGCGACGGCAGCAACAACAACGATAGCATCACGGGCAGGAATTAGAAGGTCCTGTGCTCACTGCAGCGTTGAAGTGTCTGAGTGCCCGCAATCTGTTTGGTACACCCTGAAACTGTGGGTGGCATCGTAACAATTCTGCAAGCGGGGCTTCCTTCTGCACAGCATTCTTTTGGGTCATTTGTTGTTTGCTGTTTCACTTTCTGACTCCCTGCTTTTTGCATTTTTGCCACAGATCGAGCAGCTGAGAGGTGTCTCGAATGTGTCATCTTGGAACAACCACACAGAGATGGTCCGAGGAACAGACGGGGCTCACTTCCACCCATGGATGGCGGACAATGAGACCATGACTGTGTGGGTCAACGAACTCTTCCGGGCCGTGGAATTGTCACCCATTGGTTCCGTGGAAAAGGACGGAGTCAGGCTCCTCAGATACGAGTTGGTGAGCAAACACCTCATTCAATTGCTGACATGGCCTGTCCTATGCCTTGTGCTGTATGTTTGCCTGCTTGTACTTTTAATTCCACAAAATTTGTTACTCTTCTGCTCTATGGTGTTCTTCCCACGTCCATGTCAACTGCTGTTGTGCAGTGCTTGTTAACCATGCACCATCTTCTGAAAATGCAGCCAGCAGCGTGCATGTTGCTGCATGGTCAGTTGCATCTAACCACCCCAGACGCATATTCCAAGCTGGCTAAAGTGTGTGAGGTTCCAAAGTTATAGCAAGTATTGCAGATGCGACACGACTTTTGGAAGGGAGGTAGCATATGTTTTGTCAACAAGGTCAAAACAGCAAAACAAATATGGCTCAACATGCACACAAGCGAACTCAGACGCATAGGTTAGCAATTCACAAGTTTGTTAGTAAATAAGTAACAGATGAATGAATGAATAAGTAACAAGCAAAAACAAACCAAATCAAACAGATAAATGAATGAACAAATAGATAAGTACATTAACAAGTTATGAATGAATGCGTGAACTGAAAAGAGGGTTGTTACTAACTTCTGGCAACCTGCATTCGTTTGGGTCCCCAGGACCCATCCATGGCCAATGCGGACCCCCGATTCTATCAATACGTTGAAGGCCTGTTCAATGCAACTAGCCCCACAGTGGCAGGCCCCAATGGACCCTCGGACCAGCATGGCCTGCCAGTGTACTTCTCATTGCCACACTACTGCCACGCTGCATCCAATCTGGCAGAGGGCGTGAATGGCCTGAAATGCAACTTGACACGGCATGAGCTGTACATCGACGTGGAGCCAGTGACAGGTGAGGGAGGTGGAAATGTCACGCTTATTATGGAAATGGAGTGTTTGTTGATTGATTGATTGACTGGGAATTGCTGAGAGGTGCAAATTGCATTGCTGAAGTGTGGGACCAAGAACATGAGATCAAAGGACATGCCTATATACTTGTCACAACACCTGTTGCTCTTCCCAGCACATCTGTACAGTCAGGGTTCAAAATTGCCTTCCTGGCCAGAAAATTTTGCTGGATCGAAGTGTTGCAGAATGATTTTGGTACTTGCCACATGGACACGATGTTCAGGATCTTCGAAGCCCACAAGTGCAGTCATCGAATGGCCAGCAACTCGATTGGTGTATACCCCGAAGAAAAATGTGAAAGGAAGGCTGGAAATTAGTTCCTAGATGCAGGAAGTAAGCATGTGGAACACAATTAAGTACAGGTCAAAACATGATGCAGTTGTTCTGGAACACTGTCGATGGCAAAATGTCATGCTGGGCGCAGGCCAGACGTGGCGTGCAGCCAAGCGCCTCATGATGAGCTCCGAGTTTGGTCCAGATTTCAAGAGTGTGGATGCACACCTCAACCGAACCATACTTCCCATTTTCTGGATAGAGGAATCTGGAGAGGCCTCAGCAGCGCAAGCCGAAGTCCTGAACGACCGAGTGTTCAAGTGAGTGGCAACAGAAGGGCTGCGCAGAACGTGACTGTTCGTTTAGTGTAGGGGGACAGTGATGCTGATAAAAACCGTATCAACACTGGTGGTACATGAATAGTAAAACAATGAGTTATTATGGTGATAATATTCTGGTAGTCTTGGAAGGGTATGTGCACAGCTGTGTTGAATGTATGGTGCTGTGATGGAAACAGGCTGGAATGGCTGACTGGGTCGGCCTTGCTTGTTCAAAATACAGGAACAGACAGCGTGGCACGTGGATACTGTGTATAAATGCCCCAATGTGCCAATTGTCTGTTTTGCCAAGAGGATGGCCAGTTTGGAATAATGGGATGACTTATTTTCTGAAAAGTGCTTTTGGGTTAGCTGTGGTTTGGACCATGATGAACTGCTGGTTTCGGGGTACCGCACAGTTAGGTGTTGTTTGGGCTTGCAGAGTGCTCATTTGATGGCTGATGTGCCTGAAGCTGTGTTCCATCGCCCCCAGGATTCAGAGGTTGATACAAATGTCCGGACAGTTGCCAATCATGTTGGCCATACTGCTCGGTACAATCCTGCTGTTTATTACAATTGCCCCATTTGTGGCACGAAAGAAACGATGGCGACCAAAGATGGTGCGGGGAGGCCAGGCACTTGCGCAAAATGGCGCCCACACAGGTGGGAATAAAGTGTTGGGCAGAAGATACAACAGCGCATGTGCCAATTGGGCACTTTGCGAATTGGACACCCCGAAAGACACCTGTGGATGTAAAGAGTCCACTATAACATTGCATGTGATTGACCAAGAGAAATATTCTGGCACTATAGTTTTGTCGATGTTCGCGAATATTGCAGTTTATTCTACTCTATCATAGTACCAAAATGCATGCTGCAAAGCTTTCAGCTGTCAAAATAGTGAGTGAAACATGGAGAGTTGTTGTGTGTGTATGACTGGTGCAATGCACGGAGAGTGAAGTGAACTGTGAGGTGTGTTGTGGGTGGCAAGCGGGTGCAAGTCTTTGCTGCTGGCAACACAGCGTTGTGCGCACTTTGCCAGAGAGGGTGTTCAATGTGCCGTACATGGGAAATCAAGTTGTTATATCTCAATCATTCAGGGAGTCGATCGAATCTATCAGTCAGTCTGTAAGTTGGCCAGTCAGTCAACAATTCAGTCAGTCGTTGAATGAATCAACCAGGCTTCATTCAATCAAATCGATTGTATCATGCCAACTGACCTGTGCAATTGCGTGCCGTTCACCAGAGCCAGGCACATCTGACGACCTAGAGGCACCCCTGATCCAACGAAGGAATGGCACAGCCAGCCAGCCACTGCCGCCCTCCCTAGATGGCAGCCCATCGAACGGGAAGCTCCCCTTTCAGAAGGCGATGAACTAACCACTTCCGCACGTGCTGGCACGGTGGCAGCAGCCGCAGCTGGGCCAATGCCTCCCCGGTGGCTTCATTTGTGGTTGTGGGCTCTTCACCGGGAACTGCACTGCGGCATGAGTTCTGGGCTGAAGCGGTGCTGTGGGTGGGCTCCACAGTGCATCGCCAAACTGGCAGGAAAGCGGAGGGTGGGGCATCCAATGTGTGGATCGCCGCCTTTTGGGTCTCTGTGACGATGGACCTGCTTGTGTCAGTCTTGGAGAAATGTTTCTTGCAATGGAAAAGAGGCAGCCTGCTTTCAGCTTGATGTGCAGGTGGGTTTGAGGTGCATGCAGTTGAATGAGAGGGAGGGGGGAGTGTGGAGGAGAGGAGGGGGGAGGAGGAGGGCGCGAGCAATGGGCAGTAGGTGCTGCGCACACAGTGTCATCTGAATGTCAAGCCTTTGAATCACCTTATTGGCGGACTTGGGGTGTAGCGTAGTCAGGGATCAGGGGAATGGACTGTGAAATAACTGGGCGCTGATCTATTGGATAATGGCGCCCACTGATTGATAACAAACATTGGCCGATTTTCATTCGCACGGCTGTCGTCGTCCCGTGGTGGCAGTGCCTGCCAGGAGTATGAAGAGCAGCTGTCGCAGGGGCGTTCGGGTTTTGTGGAAAACGACTTGGTATTTCATTGAGATGTGCTCGTGGGTAGATTGGGGCTTTGCTGAACTAGAGGAAGAGACTTGGGGCCACACTTGGGAGGCGCCCGTGTACATTAGGGTGTTCTGTCGGCGCCGTGCACCGACGGCGCTTGGAGCGGGGAATGCAATCGTTCCCAAACTCACGTGTGGGGGTTGCGTTGTAGTTGAGGGATTCATTCTTTGGTGTGCTGATTTGATAGATTCCACCGAAAACACATTCGATCACCTGTCGTTTTTTTTGAGGCTCTCATTGCTTAAATTGTCGCATTTACGAATGGCCGCTGGGGTGCGGTTGCCTCTTGAGGACCTTTGAACGGCTGTCTTGATAATTCATGACCGCATGGCCGTTTGCTACGCAAACATCTTGGCCATTGCGCATCCTCGGTCTTCACATATGAATAATATGATGCGAAGTAGTGCAACTGCACAGAATTCGTGTTATATAACTGTGCGTTCAATCCACACGGAGTTCATAATGTGGCACATATGGCATTACAAATGTTGGCAGACCTGCCTTTATCCACTGTTTTTTGAGTGCATTTCCCGCTGTCGCCATTACATCAAGACATCCGGGCGTGCATTCACAGCCGCCTCCCCACAGTCACCATGGTGTCTTCTCGCCTTTCTGCCCAGGCGTGCTGAGTGCTCGCAGTGAAGACTATGATACGCTACAATGCTATTTGTGCTGCGATACTACCTCGTAGTGTCGTAGTAATATTGTGCTAATCTTGCCGGGAACGCTCCCTGCTCTGTTGCACTCTCTGAACCCTTCGGCAGAGACCTGCTAAGCCGGGCCCAGAAATGCGTAGATCTGATCTACCTAATGGGCGTTCCTCTCGGAATATTCCGATGTCTGGGCCCGCCAGTCCAAACGGCAAAAGCTCTCAGTGCAAGGCGGGACACTGCGGCGCCTTTGCCCAGTCCTGTGAATCCAAATTGGAGGCTTGAAGAGCACCCTGCAGCCGAGCACATCCGACAGCAGCAGTTCCGCAGATAGCAGAGGTGTTTGAACCCCTTGTCCCTTGTCGTCCACTTGTGGCCATGGCGCCAGAGTCTCGGTGACGTTCATCGACTAGGTCGCATCAACAGCTCACTCTGATGAAGCAATTCACGGCCGGCATCACTGCGACGCTGGTCCACCGCGGGCGGCACCTGCACTCGCACTGCGTCAACATCTTGGAACCAGAATGCAACCAAAATGCAACCGAGAGCTCAACTGCATGCCCCATGGGCAGGGGTCGGTCGGGCTGGTGGTCGCTTGGTCCTCTCTGGCACCCTGACGCTGATGCCCTCCCTCCTGCGCCCGTCGACCACCAAACTGAACCTTCCAGATAAGACCTCATCGCTCAACAGACCTGTTGAGCCATGAATCGAATCGAATCGTATCAAACGCATCTCGAGTGGATCGAACCAGTCGAATCGAAAGAAATCGAGTGAATCGAATAAGATTCGATGGCAGTCTCCCTGTGGACCGCGTCATGGGTCATGCGAAGTATCCAGACCGACCCCAACGCCCTCCTCCTCTCGATCTCGATCGGACGGGCCTACCAGCGGGGGCGGCCCCGCTCCTCCTGGGCGGCAACACTTGATCGGTGTGGCCAAATCTGAAGAGATCTCCGAGGAGATCATCCCTCAGAGCCGACAGCAGGCTCGGTGCAGGGCGGCGAGCGCCCCTCGTTGATGCCCCGCCCCTACCGGCTCTTCTTCCTGCCAATAGAGCATACCGTAGAAAATCAAACACTCCCGCATGGCATCGTAACGCTTGGCCTTCTTATGCGGAAAACAAATAAAAAGACGGTGCCAAGAAAATGCATAGCAGCCCCCAACGGCGGCTCAAGGGTCCCTGGAGCACTCGTGGCGTCTTCCAGCTCCGGATGCAGGAGTCGATGCGATGGAAAATCGGCATTTGAGGCCATGTGGACTCTGGAGCAAAGTCGCCATTCCGGCTGTGGCCATGATGCGGAGCGCCCTAAAACAACGGTCCGTCCAAAAAATGCGGAGCAAGAATCGTAACTCTCAAATTCTACAACGCCTGAATATTCTACGATAATGTCTTCTCGCCGATCCTGTCGGCTGCGCGAACGCACCTGTTGATCCTCTCCGAAGACCGGACCCACTGCTCCGGGGCACAAGCAGTTGACTGATTTCGCCAAATCCGAAGGGATCTCCGTGCAGGTCGTCCCGCAGGGCAGATAGAAAGCTTGGCGCAGGTCGTTGAGCGGCCCTCCTTGAAGCTCCGGCCCTCCCCGCTCCTCTTTTTGCCAGTAGAGCATACGGTCTTCTCGCCGGTGGCGCCGGCTCTGTGGATCTGCCCGTCGATCCTCTCTGTTGACAGGCCGCTCTCATTGTGGACGCCGGACGGTGGGGAACGCCAGAGGCACGGGGAGCGTCATTTGAATGTGGCCGTTCGGGTGGTGCCGAAGAATGAGGCTCCGTCGGTGCGGGGTTTTCGCCACCGGTTCCCCCGCTCCACCTGAATGACCGCGAGTGTAAGGTGAACAGCAAATGTAATATATAACAAGTTCAAATAGTAATAACAACAACAATAATAAATAAACAGTGACAATCACAATAAGCAACAAGTGCAAGATACGTGCGAGGACGACACAACGAAACCAGCAACGTTGCATGTTGCCTGCCACATATCAAGACGCATTTCAAGACGCTGATGCACGTCGAACACGGACCGATGTTGTGCTCAGCGACACAATCTTTTATTGAACAATGCAAAACAATTATGTTGTTTAGCATATTTACCGGTAAATAATTGTGACTATTATTGTGGCGATAATTGTCGAAAACTGATCAACAGCAAAACTTGCCGAAAGATCCAGTTCAAGGAGACAACAGAAATGCCATTGGTTCGTGCGCACTTAAGTCTAATTGCATCTTTCACTGGAACAACTGAAGCACAATGTATTGGCAAGGTTACATGTACCGCAAGACGCTGACCGCCTGGAAGTCGCCGCCCGTAAGATGGCCTGTTGTGTTCTGCTGTCCATCTGGACTTATTCGCGTCAACTGCATTTGACTTCGCATTGAGCACTGCGGGCAGCGGTATTTGCGTTGCTGCGGACATTATGGACGACTCGTGTACCAAAATATCCAGCCGGCCATACCTTCCTATTTGGAACCCAAGACGTGCATCATTCGCTAATGCACAATATTTCGAATAGATTTTAAGCGTCCAAATTGCGCTGCATCAGCAGGGGGGGTGCTCGCGTCATGCAAAATAGATCTTATATTGTGGATCCAAATTAGTTTTGCCCTGATCACTAGAGCAGCATGCTCGCGTTGCATCTCTTCGATCATCAAAAGAATTATCTAAAGGACTATTATTGGGGTTGATACTTTGTTGATCAATGATTTTCATGAAATACCAACCAATCGATCAATCAACGTATTTCATGAAATACGATATTGGTTATACAGATGATACTCACAAGAAGAAAAGTACATGTAAGCGCATGCACCAGCACGGCATGGTACGTACGCACGCGGCATCTGCTGCATCACATCCAATGTATGTACACATACATAGAGATGTTGTTCTCTGAGTGCGAATTGAAGTGCACAGCAGGAGGGCGGGAGAAACCGTTCGCCAAAACCACGAGCAAAAGAAGGACCAAATAACACTTTTGCGAACACACATAAAACACATTTCATCAAAGTTCTGCACGCTACTAACACAAGAATAATACAAAGCCGTAAACTTTGTACACGTTTGAACACGTGTTATTTGGCCCTTTTTCCCTGGTGAGTGCAAGCGTTCGCTTTCCAGGTACGGTTTTGCACCCAACGATACGGAAGCCGTCTTTTTCAGGACGCATTGATGCCGTTCGGCGCCGCTCAATGTTCCTAGGAACTTCAATTCCAAATTACACGCGGCAAATCATAGATCCCACTACAAAAGCGTCTTTTCTTTGCCCCATTCAATGCCACCCCGACGCACACCTGAAGCTGCAAAAGCACCACTGCCGTTTCCACAGACGTAATTCAAGAGACCTGATTAAGTTAACATCATTTCCCAAATTGCCATCAAACGAAAAAACAACGCCCCGTCTCATCGCGCGCCCCCGCATCCATGCCCACCTCCCAGCCGAGGCTCCCAGTCTGGCCAGATATTCCCACCGTTCTTTCGCCTCCTCCTTTCCCTTCCGCTCCTTTTCTTCCTCAAACGAACACGGCGCACTCTCCTCCATCGACACCCGATATACCATGTGGCCAGCGACCTCGCCGCGAGCTGCAGGACCCGCCTCCCTTCCCACCACTTGCCTCCCGCTGTCGCGTGCCCGCCGAAACGCCGGGCCCGCGGAATTGACTTGCGCTATACAACAGCGGTCACCGAAGTCAACCGAATTGTCGAAGAGCCAATTTACATGCGTACCTTCCAGCGGAGCGCGTGGCACCCAATTGGGGCGAGTTTCGAGCGGCGGAGCCGCGCCACCGATACAAACGTCCCATGCCCGTTTGCTCCCTTGATATCAAAGGCAGAAACCCAGAACGTCTCTGGATGGGCTGCCTGGGGACATGCAGAAGCCGGGACCTAACCCTCGTAACAACAGTTCCCGCCACAAAGCATAACGCCACCAACGGTCCCCAACATTTTCATTTAGTCCGCACGACATCTCAATATCGGAAGTCGCTGCCCAACCCGCTTCTGCTGCGGCGCGGCGCCTTTCCGTTCCCACCGGGCTCGGCAACGTCCAGCTCCAGCCCCACGATGGTCCTGAGCTTCTTTTGGCTGGCAAGCAAGTCGGTCACGATTTTCTCCTCCTGGTCCCTCCTCCGCACTTGATCCCCGTCGTACATCAGATCCCTCAGATTCTCCTTCCCTTGGGACAGATAGTCCAGCAGGGCGGGCACCATGTCCTTGGACACCTGGCCAAACGGGTTCATGGTTTGCGCCGGAGCCGTTTGAATAATTGACCTGTTCGAGGTATCTGAATATGCTGTCGTACAATAGTACAACAGCCTAAATGTTGGCTCTAATCTTTGTGATTTAAGCCATGCAGTCTGAAATGAAGGGATGTGAGTTGTGTATTATCGTCTGAATTATTGAATTGCAACTATTTGAACAGGTGATAAATGAGTGCGGTCGATGGTTGCAGCACTTGGAGAGGATTCCGGAGCACAAGTGTTTTGGTAGATTCCACGAGCAACGCGTTCTGCTGCACTGCGTCGCATGTACTGTGAAGCAAAGAGTGCATTTCAACTTTGTTTCCAAATCAGTGCGGATCACATTTACACATTTATACACATGGCAAATTATCAATGAATAAATATTAAAATGGGAAGATTTGATGGGTGTTT